CCTTGACAGTTCCCTGGGCTACGGGTCGGCAGGAGGGGCGTTCCTCAAGAGTGTGGCAGTGGAGTTTCGCCTGTGCCCCGTACCCTGTATAGCCGTCTCCTCTAAGGGAGTCGTGGCAGGAGACGGTTGCGCTGGTGCCGATTCCTTCACCGTCCTTCCCCCAGAGAAGGTGGGTGTGCTCCTCTTGCTTTGAAATCTGTTTTATGGTTATAATTCCTCTAAACATCTGAGCCAAATCGACTGTCACCTTGGGAGACGATTCTCCTGGAGCCAATTCTTCCACTGCCCTGCCCTCATACCCACCTGGCCTTCCCGTGCAACGCCGAGCAGTACGCCTGGGTGTCCTACGTGTGGGCCTCTCAAACGCTCAACGTGTTCCTGGGCGGCTCTTTGAAGTCATGTGTACTAGGCTTCCCTATTTTTCCCCTCCTTCCCTCCCTTCCTCTGTTCGCCCAGGTCTTCCCTCAACACTCAGCAGTATGCCTGGATGAACTACGAGGGGGCGTCTCAGGCCCTCAACGTGTTCTCACACCAAGCTCTTTACACCAGTGCTCAGCTCACCCCACTCCACCCTACCCGACCTTATTCCACCTCTAAAATCCCCTACATTCCCACCAGGCCTTCCTCCTCAACACTCAGCAGTACGCCGGGTGAACTAGGGCGTGTCAGACGCTCAACGTGTTTCTGGACGGATCATCCAGGGTCAACCCAGGTGTACCAACGCTCACTGCTCACCCTTCCCTCCGCTCACTGCCCAACCTCCCCTCCCTTCCCTTCCCTCCCCTCCCTGCCCTCCCCTCCCACCCCTCCCTGCCCCCCTCCCCTCCTTGCGCCCCCTTCCCCCTTCCCACCAGGCCTTCCCTCTCAACACTCAGCAGTACGCCTGGGTGAACTACGAGGGGGCGTCTCAGACTCTCAACGTGTTCCTGGGGGGATCATCCAAAGTCAAGCCAGGTGTACCAACGCTCACTGCCCACGTGGACATTGAAACCATCCTGGGCGCCACGTCAGCATCCGTGGGGTTCACAGGTGGCACGTGGTGGGGGCAGGACATGGCGAGCGAGCGGCATATTATTCACCAACTCAGCTTCGTGGGAGGTGAGAAACAGGAAGAGGTGAAGCGAACATGAAAGTGTGAGAGTGATACTTTAGTCGGACTCAAAAAAGGCGAGTGAGAGTGAGTGACATGCTTTGGATGACCTGACATGGCGAGTGAGCGGCATATAAATTCACCAGCTCAGCTTCGTGGGAGGTGATTCATGGATGGAGAGAGGGAGGGGGGCGAAGTCGGTGTGTGAGGGTGGCATGCAATGTATCGGCAGGACATGGCGAGCAACACATCATCCACCAACTCAGCTTCGTGGGAGGTGAGTCATGGATGGAGCGGGAGAGGGAGGGAGAAGTAGAGGTGGTAAACGATTGCTTGAGGTAGGTAGGAAGGGAGGGAGGGAGGGAGGGAGGGAGATTGAGTTGAAAGAGAGGGAGGGGGAAATAGAGGTGCGTGGAAATGCCAGTATGACATGCAATGCACATGCAGTCTTAACTGTGTTCCCTTTCCTTTCCTACCTTCTCCCCTTTCCCGCACACCTCCTTGCAGGCACCTTCCTGGAAACGACCAATGTAACGGCAGAGCTGACAGGCGCCTTTGCCTACTCCAACGAAACAGACCTTTCTCTCTTCACCACCACCGCACCCACCGCCACTCCCACCGCCACTCCCACCGCTACACTCACCACGACCACCACCACTACCACCACCTCTCTCTCTTCCACGGATGCTCTTGCCACTACCGGAACCACGGGAGGGGCGGCGATGCTCTCAGAGTTATCGCCCGATGCCACGCGCGGTACAGTGGAGTTCCGCTTCACGGCTGCCACCTCCTCGGGGCCTCAGTCCTTCGTTGGTCGCCGCCGCATTGTTGCCTCCCGCCCTGTGGTGAGTGGAATGAAGTGTGCTGACTCCCAGGTTTGATGTGTGCTTCACCAGTGCTGTCAGAGCTGTCCCCTGATGCCACGCGTGGCACGGTGGGGTTCCGCTTCACTGCTTCCACCCCCTCGGGGCCACAGTCCTTCGTGGGGCGCCGCCGCATCGTTGCATCCCGCCCCGTGGTGAGTGGAGTGGGGCATGTGTGCTGTCACCCAGGTGTGACAGGTCTGTCTGGGTGCATCAGTGATGCTGTCAGAGCTGTCTCCTGATGCCACGCGTGGCACGGTGGCTTCACGGCCACCACTCCCTCGGGTCCTCAGTCCTTTGTGGGGCGCCGCCGCATTGTTGCATCCCGCCCCGTGGTGAGTGAGCGTGCACCCGTCGCATCGTCGCATCGGAGCTGTCCCCTTGTTCCCTTTCACAGGTGCACGTGCAGGTCTATGTGCCTTTCATGGAGAGGGTCACCCAATAGGTGTTTGAATAGCCACTCATGACAACTGCCTTTACTCCCCCTGCCCCCTCTACTTCCCTCTTCCCCCACCCCTATACCTCCCTTCTGCTCCTGTCCCCTGAACCCTGCAGGTGCGAGCACATGTGTACGTGTCCAACATGGAGGATCGCCCCATGGCTGACGTGGCAGTGACGGCACGCATCACCTACCCCAACGGCACCGACGCCTCCCGGTGCTTCGTCTTCAGTGATCCGCTTCTGCAGGGGATTGACGATTTCAGCGGTGCAGGTGAGAGTGCCACCTCTCCTTCTCACATTACCAACATCTCTCTTCCATTTGCCACCACCAGCCAAACTTCCCACACATCCAGATATCCCACTGCAACCCCAGCTGATACCTCCATGTTGGTTGTTGGAGTCGTGTTTATTTTCTTTACATCACGCTGTTGGTCATGTCAGCTTCCTTGTGTGTCGTAACTGCTGCTGTTGCTGTCTCTACCCCATGATTGGCATCGATGGAAATCCTCCTCCAGGATCTATGTCCGCACCCACCGGAGCATCCACAAGCTCTGTTTGTGCGTCAATCCGCTCGTGAATTGAAGCTACAATTTCGTCGGCAGTAATAACATTTTCAACTACTTAAACACTACCATTTTGTCTCTGTTTTTCTCTCCCTCGTTTTTCCCCTTTTTCTCCCCTTTTTCCTTCCCCCCAGGCACCCTCCCTTCTGCCACATCAACGAGCGTTGATTGGCTGCTCCTCGCTCTAGACTGCGCCGCGCCGGCCGCTCCCACCAACTTCAAATTCGCCAGCACGCTGGACTACACGCTGCCTGCATCAGCATCCGCACCAGCATCTTCAGGCACTTGGCTCACTAATACTTTTGTCATTCTTTTCCTCTATTTTTCTCTCCCTCGTTTTCCCCTTTTTCTTCCCATTTTTCTCCCCTTTTCCCTTCCCCCCAGGCACCCTCCCTTCTGCCACATCAGCGAGCGTTGACTGGCTGCTTCTTGCTCTGGACTGCGCCGCGCCTACCGCTCCCACCAACTTCAAATTCGCCAGCACGCTGGACTACACGCTACCTGCATCAGCATCAGCACCAGCATCCAGCAAGAGGGTGGAGCTGACGAGTGTGCGAGTGACGGTGGTCCCTTCACCCAAGCTGCAAGTGCATTACTTTGTGCCCCGGCACGTGCAAGGCGACGACCTCACCACTCCTCAGGTGAGCATGGGGGAGTGCATGAGGGGAGTGGGCATGGGGGAATGGGCATGGGGGAGTGGGCATGGGGGAATGGGCATGGGGGAGTGGGCATGGGGGAATGGGCATGGGGGAGTGGGCATGGGGGAATGAGCATGGGGGAGTGGGCATGGGGGAGGTGGGCATGGGGAAAGTGGGCATGGGAGGAAATGGGCATGGGGGAAGTGGGCATGGGGGAAGTGGGCATGGGGGAAGTGGGCATGGGGGAAGTGGGCATGGGGGAAGTGGGCGAGTGGGGCAAATGGCAACGCTGTTGCAGGTGTCAAGGATACTGTCAGTGGCTTGTGTGCCACTTTCGTTTTTTCTCTTTCTTTCTCCCCCCTTGAAAGGTGGAGACCCCAATGCCAGCCATACTCGCAGCAATCTTCCACAACTCCTCGCTCTCCCCTTTCACTCCCTCTATCCCTCCTGCATTTCTCCTCTCCAAAACACCCCAGAGGTTGGGTCATCAGTGCCAGTCACGCTCTAACCCTCCTCCCTTTTTCCCTCCTCTCTCTCCCCGACTCAAAAGGTCGAGACACAGGTGCCAGTGACGCTTGCAGCACTCTCATTCCAAACACTCCTTTTCACCCCCTCCATCCCTCCTCCCTTTTTTCCCTCCATCCCTCCTCCCTTCATCCCTCCTATCCCCATCACCCCACAGGTGGAGGCACCAGTGTCAGTCACGCTGGCAGCACTCTTCCACAACTCGGGTCACGGCACGGCTGCTGCTGTCGCCACACAGTCTCTGCTGTTCCATCTCTTTCTCTCTCCCCAAATCCCCACAGGTGGAGGCGCCAGTGCCAGTGACGCTAGCAGCACTCTTCCACAACTCGGGCCACGGCACGGCTGCTGCTGTCGCCACACAGTCTCTGCTGCCCACTGCTGCCAGCACCACCACCACTGCCAGCGCACCCGCCGCTGACACGGGCGCTACAACTGCAACGGGTGACACGACCAGTGCTGCCATGAGTTTCAGCATCACCAACACTGTGCTGGGTACTGAGCCTCAGCCAGCATCCTTCTCCGTGAAGGTGTGTGCACAGGCGAGTGAGGCAGAGCGTTCAGATGTGAAACACAGACTTACACGCACGAGCGAGTTCCAGCATCACCAACACTGTGCTGGGCACTGAGCCTCAGCCAGCATCGTTCTCCGTGAAGGTGTGTGCCTGCTGGTGTTCCCGCGTGTGAATGCAAGCGCACACGACCAGCGCCGCCATGAGTTTCAGCATCACCAACACTGTACTGAGCAGTGAGCCTCAGCCAGCATCGTTCTCCGTCTCCGTGTATGTAAGTGTTCTTGCTGCTGATATGCCAACATGTTCACTCAAATGCACACACGCATGCACACACACACACACACACACACACACACACACACACACACACACACAGGCGCGCGCGCGCGCACACATGTACAAACAAACATGCGTATACACACGTCTCACTTGCTTCTTCTTATCCTGACCCGTTCCTTCTACTCGCCCCCCATCCCCTCTCTCTTTCTTGGGTGGGAAGCATCCCCCCTTATGCTACAGCCATGGTGCGCTGGACCATAGAGGCCAGTCTTCTTTTCCCCCCCCCTCTTCCTTCTCATTTTCCCTTCCTCACTCCCCCCCCTTCTCCCCTCTCTCCCCTCACTCTTCGGCCCCAGGTTGGAAGCATCCCTCCCGCTGCTACAGTCATGGTGCGATGGACCATAGAGCCCGTCCTCTTTTTTTCCTTTCTTCCTTCACTTGGCCTTCACCCTCTCTCTCCCCACCATGTCCCCCCCTCTCTCCCACCTCTCTTCCCCCTCCTCCCCTCTCCTGGCCCCTAGGTGGGAAGTATCCCCCCTTCCACTACAGCCATGGTGCGCTGGACCATAGAGGCCAGCCTCACAGGCACATTCGATACTGTCACCACAACCATCACCTCCTCCTCCTCCCCTCTCACCGGCCTCTCCCCCATTCTCGAGTCGGTTGACATTCACAACCTCGTGCACGTTGTCTATCTGCCCGACGCCGCTTCAGGTACACTCATGAACCACCCATTCCATCCACATCCCATCCCATCCCATCCCATCCCATCCCATCCCATCCCATCCTGTCCCTTCACTGCTTAATCCATCTGCCATGTTGTTCCATACGATGCCTTACAGAGTTTCGCACCAGACTCTCAGCGATATATTACGTGACCTTGCCGGCTGACAGAGTTTCTCACCCAAGCCATTCTGTTGATGTCTTACCTGCTCGCTCGCTCAGACGACGGGCTGCCGGATTTCCTGGTGGGCGATGATGGGGACGAGCAGGGTTTGAACCATTTGTCTTGTCATGTCCCCACCCCACCCCACCCCATCCCACCCCATCCCACCCTGCCTCCACTGCCTGTTCATTCAGACGACGGATTGCCGGATTTCCTGGTGGATGATGATGGGGACGAGCAGCCGGAGGCCATCTACAGCAGCGCTGGTAACCGCGTGCTGCCCGTAACCGCCGTGCCAAACGCCGCTCTCACGCTTAGCCGCCCGCTCTTCACCAGCGAGACCCGTGCCAAGCTCACTGTCGCTGTGAACTGGTGAGTGATTAGGTGGATTGCTGGTTGTCATTGCTAAACACGACTGTCCTGCAAATTGCTGGACTCACCCCCGAAAAGAAGAAGGTATGAAATTATAATAGTAACAATAATAACATTTATAGTTTGAGTAATAATAATAATAATAGTAACATTAATAACAACAATAATAATATTGGTGCTGGCCATAATAAGGAACGCTTTTCTGCCCTTCAAAAATTCAGCAACTTCTCATCCTCCAAACCACGTGCCATGTGCATCGCCATGCTTGCAGGTCGGCCCTCGCAGCACCAGCGGCAGCAGGTGGGTGGGCGCACATGTCATTTGCATCGCAGCTGCCATCGCACTGCTGGAATCTCACCGCTGCTCTCCGATCCAACGGCTCTCAGCTGCCCGTGCCCTTCAACGCCTGGTCCTCCTTCTCCTCCTCCCCCGCTGGCACTGCTCTCACTGGCACTGCTGCTGCCCCTGCCCCTTCCACCGCCTCTGCTGCTGCTGGCACTGCTACTGGTCCCTCTTCTACCGACACCACTCACATTCTCGACTTTGTCTCCTCGCCCTCCTACACTCTCTTCTTCTCTTTCTTCGATCAGACCCTCTCCTTCCCCCACCTCTCCCCTTGCTTCCAGGCTGTCATGCCCCCCCCTCCTTCCCCCCCCAACCCTCCCCCCTCCCCTCCCCCCTCGCCCGCCCCCCCGCCCCCCTCCAAACCCCCCAAGGCCTCCCCCGAACCCCTCCCCTCCGCCCCGTCCTCCTCCAAGTCCTTCCCCCCCTCCCCGGCCCCCTCCCAGCCCCCCCAAGCCCCCTTCTCCTCCCCCTCGCCCTCCCCCCAATCCCCCGAAACCTCCTCCGCCCCCTTCTCCTCCCCCTCGCCCTCCCCCAAATCCCCCGCCAAACCCCCCCTCACCACCGCCCCCCAAACCCCCATCTCCCCCACCCAAACCTCCACCAAACCCTCCCCCGAACCCACCGCCTCCCAAGCCTCCGTCCCCTCCCCCTCGCCCTCCCCCCCGTCCCCCTCCAAGTCCCCCGCTCCCGCCCCCACCCCCCAGGCCTCCTTCCCCCCCGCCTCGCCCTCCCCCCCGCCCTCCCCCAAGCCCTCCCCCCAAGCTTGTCTAGAAGCCCCCACTCACATGGTGATTTACTTGGCTCGGGCTTGTGCTTTGGGGAAGTCATCTTCGCCTGTGCTTTGGGGAAGTCATCTTCGCCTGTGCTTTGGGGCCGTCAAGTGTAGCAAACTAAGGTCGAGGGCTCTGAAGGGGGTTCTCAAAGTTGCTATCGAGATGACTCTCAGATTTTTGTGTTTGAGCCGATTCAGGCAACGCTTTGGATGA